GCGAGAGAGATGAAATGTCTGTTTTTCACCTGTTGGTCGGCGTGGAGCACGTGGTGCAGAGCACGCTGAGGAGGAAAGCACATACAGCGTGACTGCTAACAAAGTCAGGCGTTTCTGACTCAACACAAGCCACTGAATAATTAATATTTAAAACTTGTATATATATATATATATATATATATATATATATATATATATATATATATATATATATATATATATATATATATATATATATATATATATAAATATATTTCTTTTGTAGAGTTTGAGTTTGCATTAGACTCTAATGTGTGTCCTGCATGTGTGTGTGTTTGGGTCCTGACCCAAAGGAGGTGTTGGCTGTCGGATCCACTTTTTATTTTTGTTTAGTTTCTAGTTCACAGTTTACAGCACACATAAGTCCCACAACCCCTGGGAAATGGAGCACACACACTCATGCGCACGCCTGCAGACACACAACATCAAAAATAATTTGAGTATATCAACAATATGACCTTCCAGTTCCAGTGGTAAATGTTCATCAAAATGCAAAGTTTATTGAATGTGTTCTTGCATTATTATTTCTTGAAAATTATCTCAAAATTATCAATAATCACAATAATTCCTGGGACAATTTATCATCCAGCAAAATTTGTTATTGTAACAGGCCTATCCATAAATAACAGATCTTTGGAGACTTTGTATTCTACTTTGTGATAATGTAGTGTTTTGTGCTGGCTTATCACCTAAAATCACAAAATAATACATTGACATTTGTAGTTATGATGTGACAAAACATGCAAATCTTGAACTTGATGTAAAATTGGACATTTCTGTACTCCACAAACATCTAATGACTCAAAAGTGTTTTCTCTTTCAGGACATTATTAGTTCCTCTTTCTTCCTGTCTCTTTTTTTGCCATAGCAAAAAACCCAAGATTTCATATATTCCTTTCTCTATAGTTCTGTCATTGACATTTTGTCATTGACAGAACAAAAACAATAAAACATTTTTTCGTTGCTATTGCTCTGCTAAATAACAGAGACTAATTCTCAAGGAAAACTGAGAGATGACTAAACGGTACATGAGGAGCTTGTGATTCTAAAATCTCTCTGACGCGAGTTCAGCCAGGCAGCACGCTGACAGCTACCAGTCAGCTTAAAGGAAAAGACAAACCCCACTTGCATAGAGGCGAATGAAAAAGCCACACTTGAGGAAATGCACCATTGCACATCTGGGTGTGATGGCAAAAACGCAGTGCATCAGTGAAAGCAGAAGTCAAACCGCAATTCAGAACAAGAGACTTCCTGCACTTTCATTGGAACAAAACGTGCAGGAACAATCGCTGTTACAAGGCGACGAAAGAGGTTGAAACGTGATTTTCAACCCGACTTCAACTTGCCCCCCCATTTCCTCATGTTCTTTGATCGTCATCCAGACTTGGGTGACCTCCTCCGCCCGTTTGGCCTCGGAGGTTGATGGAGCTGCAGCAGTGGTCCACACCGCCTGACATGTAAATGCAACAAATCAGCAACGCCGCAGTCCCAACTCCTCCTTCTCCTCCTCCTACCCTCACATCCCGTGACATACATCTCGAAACGCGGACACTTTAAAGACTGCGAGTGCAAAAAGAAGTCATCAAGGAGTGAAAACAAAGAGACAGTTCTCTGTTCATCCGGTGAAAAGCCTAATGCCAGGGCACCATCTGCTCATCCGCTCGGTGGAAGTCGCCACTTCCAGGGCAGTCAAAGACAAACGGGGAGATTGAGGGACATGGGGTTCTTTTTGAGAGCTGTGAGCGGTGGCAGGAGATTTAAGTTTGGACAGAAAGAGAGAGAGAGAGTCCTGGCAGAAGGCTACGGACCGAGCCAAATGGTAGCAGGAAGCTACCGTCTAGTGTGTGCCGAGATTTACGGTGCCCGCTCCATCCACCAACCATCTGGGCTAGTATAGATAAATCTAACTTGACGAAAAGAGCAGGAACTTTTTTAGAAAAAGGCAATGTTACCCTCTTCAAACGGCAGTTTGGGTGAGTAGTTTACATCTAAAAGGTTAGACAAATAAATCACAATTACAAATTGTCCTTGTGGATGTCAGACAATGCGAGAGGAGGATACGGCCGACAAAAGAAGTTAAGGAGAGGGTGGAGTTAGAGTGGGCGCACTCAGAGGAAGAGGAAACAAAGAGGCAATGGGAGCACCACACACACACTTTCTTTCTTTGATTGGTTGCTGATGACTTGAAGTTGCAGCTGACACCAGTGGGCAAACATCACTGTGCAATCCTTTCTGGGGAACAGCAGTCTTGACCGTCGGCACGGAGAAATTAGAGAAAGCTTTGTGTATGACACTCCAAGTCAGACAATCCAAGAAATAAAGAAAGAAAAGATCAGATTGCCTTCTCTCTAAAGCTGCAGTTAAAACTCAAGGCTGAGAGTTTGTCGTCAGCTGATATCTAAGAGTGCTTGAAAAGTGGTAAGTGGGTGTTAAGCAGACTAACAAAGCCTGACTTTCAACATACTTACTTAGAACTTTTGGTTTTCGAGTTCAAAAGTCTGCACTTTAATTTGTGCAGAGAAGTCAAGTGTTGTTTAGAGAAGGGACTGCGATCGAGTGTGGATGGCATCCGACTGTGGTTTTACCTTTTGAACTGGGTGACAGTAGACCAGGATGTACTGTGCCGAATTTCTGGTTAATTTGGCATCACAAAAATATACAAAAACATACAAATATACATGCATTGAATGTATATACTCTTATTTGCTTAGGATTTTGTAGTAATCTGCTACACTGCAAAAATCCTAAATCTTGTCAAAAAAATACTTTTTGACAAGTTTCTTGTGAAAATATCTTAAAAACGTTAAATAAGACAAACTCACTTTCAAATAACTTTTCAGTAAGAAATAGCAACTTTCTTAAAATAAATAAACCCTTAATATTGATGAAAAAGTACTACTTCCATTGGCAAATTATTTTACTTATTACATGGGAAAAAATGTCTTGTTATAAGTGGAAAAAAATGCCGATGGAACTTGAACTTCCTCATCAGTCATCAGTAATTATTGATTTGAAACAAACTCTTATTTCTTGCTGATAAATTACTTGCAAGGTTATTTTGCCATGTTCAAAGTTTTCTGAGATATTTACACTAGAGGCTTGACAAAAACAACACTTGGTAAGATTTAGATTTCTTGGCAGTGTACTTACCACTGCCGCAACGAGGCAACAGCTTGCACATCTTACCACAATTTCTCTTGAAACACAAATACAAATTTGTTTTTAAATACTGTCTAAGATATACAACGGCACATCTAACATCTGATGTTTGCAACCAACCAATAACTGAATGAACCCGTCTCAGTTTTGCCATGTTGCTCTGACAGTAACCGTCTTCTGTGCTGCAGAGTGAAGGAGACTCACTTTTCTCTATTTTCTGTCTCAATGCGATGCTTAAAATTGAACCATAGCGGTGTGAGGAGATGTTTAAAAGAATGTTATATTTTCTGTGAATTACTGACATCATGTGCCAAAGAGCAAGAAGAAGCAAGACATTCAGCAGTCAGCAGAAAGGTTTTGGTCTTCTGGAGCTTCTGACCTCTCCTGGTCATAAAACAAACAGGACTTGGAAAAGTAGGCAGGTTTTTTAAATTCTAACAATTAAAGTAAGGCAGTTAGCATGCTAATCATGTTTTCTTTTACAAAATATAGAAAAACTTTAACAGCAACTATTCTCTCCCTCCTGCTGCCCAAGATCAGAAATGAATAAATGCTGGCAGCAGAAAGGCTTAAAAAGTTATTTTGCATACCACATTTATGTCTTCTTTTGTTATATTTCTTAAAGAGAAATGAACTTGGCCTGTTATCGGATGGTCAAAGTCAAGGCTGTCTGATTGGTGGATCAATTTTGCAAAGTTAATAAACTTTATAGCTGATGAAACAAGTCAAATCGAAAGCAAAATCTTCCAAACTAAATTATGATTATTCCACACTCCATATGCCGTGGAATACGAAGCATCCATGTGAGCATTTCTTAAAATTGTCAATCGTAGCGAATAATTGCTTCATCTCACTACTCCTAAAAGTGATCCCTGAGGACCGCCAGCACTTTTAATTCAAACGCATGTATAAAAACCTCTTCATATTTCCATTGTGAATGAATGCCAGCGCTTTTCCTGCTGTGGCTCACAAGTCAAAGCACTGACTGGCTTTTCTGGGGCTAAAATTGAAACTGCAACAACACATACAAAAAAGTTGTAAAAAAAAAAAAAGTCACGGAGCAGGATGGGAGAGAGCGGGCAAGACCGATAGGTTGGAACGGACGAACATCTTAAAAGGACGCAACAGAGTCGGTTGGAAAAGTGTCACCGGGGGAGAAAGGCAACGGCTCAAACAAGAGAGAACGTCAGAGAGGAGAGCTGGAAGTCTGGGTTTGTGTTTATTGCCGTCTTAAGACGGACTGGAGGACTTGGACCGAAGGGAGAGGTGGAGGGAGAAGTGACCTGACTGTCAATGACGCCACATTACTGACGCTCTGCTTCAGAGCAGGCCCAATACCGACACATATACCTCGTGGCCCAATGTGTTATCAGCGTCTCGCCATCTCTCTCTCTCTTGCTCAAAAAAAAAGAAATATCAGATATGAAGGGAACAAGAACAACAACCTAGGAAAACTTTTCTTCTTTGAATTGAAACAAGCTCTTTTGACTTTTAAAACACCTCAGGATGAACAAGAAATTACTAATTTCCCACCAGTCCTCTGGTGGGGAAAAAAAAATAAAAGCAGCAGAATGATTTCAGAAAGTCTCTAAAGGTCTAATGAGTGGATGAAAAGTTTTGAATATGTGTCAAAAGTACCCAAATATCACAACTAAACAGAGAAAAGGGAAGCGGAGAGCAACTCCACTGGTGGTCCAGCAGCCACATCTCGGCAGCGTGACGCCGCCGAGACGCGGCCCCGCATCCCTGTGCCTTTTGTGCTTCCAAAGTTCTGAGTGTCGCCGCGCAAGAGGAGAACTCACCAGGATCCCAGAGAGCGGCTTCTCTTCCATCCTTCGCGACCTCGTCGGCAAAGATCCTCTGCCTCTCTGCTGCTTTCTCACTCACTGCCTGGAATGGACTCGTCCGCCTTCTGGCTATCAGAGCTCTCGGCGTCTTCTGAGGGGCCCCCGGGTTGTTGCCTTCACCCCGTCGTGTCGGGCTCGCTTTCTCTCTCTGTCTCTCTCTCTCTCCGTCTCGGTTTCCCCCCACCACTTCTGTGCCGCTCGCAAGTGTTGCTTGGAGTGGCGTTGCCGCTTTGTGTCAATTCTGCCTTAATCCAGAAACTTTTCTAAGCTGTGAAAAGAACACGTGACAGGCAGAGAGGGGCAGGAGGAGGGAGAAGAGGGGTGGGAGACGTGGGGTTGGGGGTGTGGAGGTGAGAAAGAGACACTTTTTAGTAACGTTCCCTCCCCTTTTGTGAATATTCAGATCCATCTTTAACCGGGATTTGTAAAACAAATATAACGTGGCACCAATATTTGTTGGTTTGTTCTTTTCTTGTCTTAAAACGTCTTAAAAAGAATTTTAACTAAAAATACATAAATCAATGACAGCGGATGCAAAGAATTTCGAAAGCATGTCGTGAGATATTTGCATACTGTAGCAAAGCAGCTGGCACCACAAAGTGGCCTTTTGTGTTCAGAGATTAACTGTTAGGGAAACGTTCAGACGGCTGTAAGACGGCCAAAGTGGGAAAACGGCTCTGAGCCCGGATTTGAGGGCAGGTGGCGGAAAATATTTATGTTCCAACACAACATTTTTTTATAGTCCCAGCCTGTCCGAAATTTCTTTTCATGAGGTTTTAGTGAAAAAAAAAAAACAAATAAAAAAAATTAAGTGAAAGGCTAACTATTTGGTTAAACTAAGCAGAAAAAAAGACATTGTCACTTTTATTTGTTTTTTTTTTAGATTGGAAAATATCTTCTCTAAGTTTTTTATTTTTTTTTTTGCAACTAAAGATTAAATATCATAACTTACATTCTTTTGGTTTCTGTTTTCTCAAAGGGAACACCAGACATCAAAAAGTCTTTATAAACTTATTTTCCTCCCTTCAGTTTTTGCTTCTGTTGAACAAAACTGAACTGAGCATTAGGATTTCATCTTCAGTAAATTCAATGCGGAGTGCCTTTAATCAAGAGCAAGCTCTAAAGTTCTAAAAACTGGACGGGATTATTTAAAATTAAATACAAATTCTTCCAAACGCAATATAAAACTCTGAAGCCTTCATTCCATTTTGGAAAACAAAAGTTGAAATCCAATAAAGGATTTAAAAAAAGAACTGCACAGAAGGCTATGAAATGACTTATTCTTTAGCTACATATGATTACATAAGAACAACCAGAACTATAAATAAGTAAAAAATGTATATAATAAACCCATCCAGTACTCATCCAATTCCAAGATAAATTACGTAGTTCTGAGCAAATGTCATAGATAACATAACGCTGATAATCATTTACTTATGACAAAATTTTAGCAGCAACTGGAATTACTGTTGCTTTCTAATTTTAAATAAAAGCAGTGAATCCGTGCAAACTGTTTTAGTTTGTGTTTGCACCGTGAAGATGTGGCAAATATGAACTATTAGACATTTGAATTTTGTAAGAATCTCATATGTTCCGGTAGCGGTGATCTCTACAAAATGTCTCGACCACAATCCGTCACTTCAGCACTGATTGGGACTTCCTGGCTGAAGTCTTAATCACTTTTAGTCTCAGTCGACTTTCAAAAGGACAGATTACATCAAGCCAATACACCAAGAAAAAAAAACATAACAATTTACACTGATCACCCAAAGTATAAATATTCCAAATTCAACACTAAAAAAAACATCTATCCCAAATGTTAAGATTACGATTCTGACTAAATTAGACAGCAACAAGAACAAGGCACATCAATGGAGGTCCCAACATCAAAAAATACAGGATCCAACATACCACCAATAGGGAAAAGTATCAAACTACGCTTCATATTAAGAGGAAAAAGTTTTATGTCAGCTGAACAGGTTGTTGTATCGAGGCTGTAAAATCATGCACAGTGGCTGGTTAGCAAGTCCTGCCTAATCTGACTCTATAAAGGGGTCATTACAAAAAAATAAATAAAAGCATTTCAGCAGAAAAGGGTAGGGGAAAGATATAGCCACCGTTCAGGGTCACACACATAAAATAACCCTCCACCACATGCAAACACTACGCCAGGAGCCCATGGAAACTCCAAAATGCCCCGGGCCATGCATCACACACAGCACACTGCACATCGATAAAAGATAGCCGAAAGAAACAAAACCACATTATAAACTTGAACCCTACCATTTACAAAGAGATGCTGGAAGAGAAAGACAACATCAGCGGAGGGCAGCCGGCTCGGGCTCTCAAGAATGATCAGGGGCCGGGACTGAACGCTGTGATTGAAGTACGTAGCTCTGCCTTCGTCCCACTGAAGAACTCCACTAATGTATGGACGTGAAGAACCGGGGAAAGCCGATTGGGCAATTCTGGAAGGAGTGGCAGCAGGAAGTAACATCAAGACACCTCAGTGAAGGAAGTTGGAGAAGACAGAAATGAATGATTATGTGATGTTAACGCCAACATAAATACACAATTAATACTGACCCAGGCAGAGTTGGATAGTAACAAGCACTCAAATACATTTACTTCAGAAACCTTTTTTGTTTATTTACTTTTTGATTTACTTTTTGTTCATTCACTTTTACTTGAGAAATTTTATCAGAAAGTATCGCTACTTTTACTTAAAAGTAAAACTTTTGGATTCTCTGCCCATTGGATGAAAAACAAACATTTGAACAACAAATTTACCAGACACAGGCACACACCTGCAGTTTGTTAAAGTTTTACATTGAATGAAAATGTGCTTGTTATTTATGTTAATTATTGTCATTATGGTCCTTAAAATACCAAAATTTCCACTTAGCTTCATATTTTAAAGTATTTTTTTTATAAAAAGTTTCATACTTCAGCTTAAAGTTTCCAGCTACTGTGTCCCTGTTTTCTGTGTCTCCTACTATCTCAACATCATAAATGAAATTATGAAGTATAAAAATGATTCTAAGGCTTAGACAGTCCTGTCTATTTAATAGGAAGCAATTTTCACCAAAGAAGAGACAGAATCTTTCACCTGCGGCAGAAAACGTCTAAACCAGCTACAGAGAAATCCTTCAAGACTGAAAAGGACTGGACCTTCAAAATGATGTCAAATTTAACCAAAAGACAGTAAAAAAAAATTAAAAAAAAGAGAAAAAAAGAACTAAAATAGCTGTAAATTTGGATCCACTGAAAATAATCCAAACAATTTGTGACCTCGTCTTAAGTCACTTGCCTGTCTGATTTGTGTCGGGTATAATTGCAGAGGTTGCAGAGGGTATTATGGTGAACGGATCTTTGGTCTTGTCTCTTAGTTTCATCAAAAAGAAAAGTCAATGCTTCAGGTCACTTTGAACTATTATTCAAAAGTGACCTGTATCTTCACACGTCTTCATCGTCCTCCCAGTGATTTTAAAAGAAAAGGAAGACCCACACAAACAATTTCACACTAAAACTCCCCAGAAAAATGAAGCTGATGAGCTCTGATGCTTGTTTGCATCTCTCCTTGAAAGTGGCGGCCATTTATTTTCTTGTCCAGCATCAGTGTCTGACCTCAAAAACATGCTTAGAATTCTCAAAAACTCCCGTAAACACCCCCCAAAAACATTATAGAAAGGCTTTCCAAAAGAGTTCAGTGTAAGTAAAACAGTGGGCTGATATAATAAACCACATGGATTGAGAGATGTCACTCCACTTCATATGTATGAAGGCAGACAAGCGAATACTTTTAATATACTCTGTACTTTTGGTATACACATATCTAAAACATTCTTGGAAGGATTAACGTTTCGTGTTTCAAACACATTCATTTTTGTCTGAGTTTAAACCATGCTGTGTGCTGACTAAAGCAGAATTTGCCTAAAAAAAGTGTCTGTACAAGAAAAAAAAAGTTACAGTAGACTCGCAAACCTTCTTCTTTCCACATACATCAGCATTTCCCTTGAAACTTTATGGGGAAAAAATAATAAACGGTGACAAAACCAGAAATCAACACGGTAGCACAGGGAGGGAAAGCCACATTTTTCATTCCTCTGCTGGAAATAGTTGTGTACTTTCTTAAACTCCTGCATAACATGACAAAAAAAAAAGAAAGAAATGCATTAATGCAATTGTAGAAATGATAAAGCTGAACAACTTTATGTAAGTGAGGAGAAGTATACAGCAGAACGGTAGACAGCGTCGCTGTTATTTTTAATTTCTGCTGCTCGACAATCAAGGCCAACAATAACTAAGAAACATGCGAGCTAAGCTAAATATAGCACTTGTCTCAGAGAGATCCAACGTTGCTCTCAATGTATTGACAGCTATACATTCAGTTCTTGCAATCTGCATATGAACTGTGTCAGTCAGTGTGACAGCCTCTGGTTCCCGGCCCTGACACAATGTACAACAAAGCAGCCTCCAGAAAACAAAGCGGCCACCTTTTATTGCAAGCCATGTCTACAATGCGTCATATTGTTGGCCTCACAAAGCAGCTGTGTCTACTATCAATGAGGTCAATATGAGGCAGCAAGATTGGGACTCCACAAGTTCTGTTTGGTTGCGATAGACAGCCTTACTCGTATACATGTGTGACGCCAAGTACAACTAACGCAGCACTCAAAGCAGCCCTAACTAAGCTCGAGCCTTTGTTCAGGACCATGTGAAACAGAGGCGGCAAAGCTGGAAGCACTTTGGGAAAGCTGGAAAGACAAAAAGGAAACAACCACAGACTAATTCCGTCAACAGCGCAACGGAAATGAGAATATTACGGGATTGCAGCGTAAAGATAAAAATGACGTTACAGTAGAATTTTAATGATTTTCGTACCTCAGAGAATCCACCAGAAAAATGTATGTAGATGCTGTTTGTGTGTATCAGTAGGACTGCCAAAGTGGAGGTTTATCTTCAGCCATCCGTCGCAAAAAATATTTTACAATAAAATAAGGCTGTCCTTATTGTAAAACCACAATAAGGACAGCCTTTTTGAAAACTAAATGAGGTCAGTAAGAATTCCAGCTGACGGCACAAAACGACACACAGCACTGGGTTCAAGAGGACGGGATGTAACAGAATTTTAATATTTCTAGGGAAATGTAAAATCCTCTGTTTTGTTTTTGGGACATGGTAGAAACTGAAAAGGCAGAAAAAAATTTATATATATATACGTAATTAAGGCTTTGATCTTTGGAGTGGCATGTTGAAACACCATACATTTTCAATACAAATTTGAAATGCATTGTAGCTTAGCAATGTCAAAATGCTCCAAGGAAGATGCTAACTTCAGCTGCATTGGCTTAAGGGGATTAGCCAGACAGAGTATTGTGTTTTTAGACAGAGTATCTCCCCAGTCTTTGCAAATCCTTTCTATCTGTTCTGCCACTCTCTCGACATTTCAATTTCTACCAAGTCAGAAATAGTACTTGCACAATCATCATTTTACACTTGAGCTCGTTTCTTCAGTGCTTACGCCACCAGATGTTGGTCAGCTTGATTTCTTTCATATATCCAAACAATCTCCACATGCGGACAAAACAACTGGATAGAGCGAATGAGAGAGACGTCGTTTAGACGACAAGAGGTGTGCTGTTTCAAATCATAAGCAGTCCTCCAGCACAATCTATCTGATCTATAGAGCTCTTACAAAAACACAAGCATATGTCCACCAAGAATAACTCTTTACCCTGAAACAGTAACCAGACCAGATCAACAGAACTGTCAGAATCAAAGACAAATTAATTCAAACAAAGAGTGCCACTCAAAACATCTTTCGTATGCTTAGTGCCAGCATCATCCAATCTTGTTTATCAAAGCTTTACTTTATACATATATAGATAAGGAGAAGTTTATGTGAGTGTCTTATGTAGTCTATCAGTTTATGGCAATCGATACCCAGCTGCCAGACTGGAACAGGTCGTTCTCTTGCTTTTTCCATTATGAAGAGTGGCTACGGGTAAGGGTCTCTGTGACATGATATTTACACCCAAGGAAGGTGTGGGATTTCAATAAGTTGTGGATTTCTACTATGAGGAACTTCACAAAGTACAAAATAGTGGCAAACTGTTCAGTAACGATCAACATGTAGGGTTTGTTTGAGGTCAGGACTTGTGTGCCACTGGTAATTTTGTAAAGACATTTCTATAATATACTTTTTCCCAAAATGTACAGAAAATTTGGATTGTTCAATTTTTCAGGTTACAATCATGCTGTAACAAAGTATTGATTCATTTGAAGAAACCTTTTTTACAGTGGTATAATTGATGATTATGCTACTCAGTGCTCTATATTTTATCTTCTTTTCAACATTATTAGTTAAGTATTTTATCTAAGATTAGTTGAATTTAGTTCCAATATTTTATTTTGTTCTCTAACATTTTAAAGCTCTTTTGAACATATGTCTGACCCAGCATCCAAACTGTGGGTTTAGTCTTGAAAGAAGTGGTATTCGGCATTAGGAAGTACTCTACAACTTTTAAGCTCAAACATGAGACATGGTAACAACCAACAGAAACACAACAGAAGGTCTGAGGAAATCAGAAATTATTGCACGAGTTCCAAAGCTTGCAACTTTTGCTTTCACTCTGAGCACTTACCAGAAAAGAAAAGGAACTAAAAATCTCTTGTATTGAGAACTGAGTCACCGGAGGAAGAATGATCAGACTAATTTGGGTTGGAAACCAATTCCTGTGGCAATCAGAGTACGGAAGAAGTCATAGTTTTGGTGGTCAGAGAAGGAATCTGTGAATGACTGACAGCTAAATACAAGTAAAACTCCAACAATTAGCAAATGTAATTGTTTCAGCCATTAAAAAAAAAAAAATAATATATATATATATATATATATATATATTATATATATATATATATATATATATATATATATATATATATATATATATAATACTCTGCCGCTAGTTCATGATATAACACATTCAATACCACACCTCAGCTGTCGTCCACGCTTTGTGAATCTCCCTAAACTCTTCAACAAGCTTTCCAATACTCTGGTTATATATATATATATATATATATATATGTATCATATTGTATGACTGCTAACTCTTGCTAAAATGACACCAATAGAAATCAACCTTACCACCTTTGAAATGCTCAACTGAAGACATCGTGGAAAAATACCAACCAGTTCCTTGACTGCAAAGGTGTGCAGACATGTAAAATAAAAGAAGGAAACAAGAAAACAAGAAGAAGAAAAAAACTGGTCAGAAAAAAACCCATAACGTTACGGATAGTAATGGACAGTAACGTTAAAGAAGTTGCAGGAATAATGATTAATAATGGTTAATTCTGGTTGGATGTATTCTATGTGTCTGGACAAAAAAGTAGGAAAGGAAATGTTTGTAAAGGAAACACTAAATCTAGCTAAAACTTACCAAAACCTGGCCAAACGTGAATGTGGTAAGATCTAATGAAACCAAACATTTGATCCCGAATCATCAAGGACTATGGAAACTTCACTCTGAACCTAAAGGACTTTGGACAGTTGAATAGCAAGACTCTTTTCTCCTTAGC